GTCATTCTAGAATGACAAAGGCACTGTAACTATCAATTTTCAGACTTTACACAAGCCTTTATATGCAATAAGGTGTTCAGCTGCATAAAAATAGTACCAAGTTGTTTAGACGACCTTATTAAAAACTAAAAATACTTATCAGAAACTTTCAGTAAAAACTCCTTAATTTTTACTTCTTTATATTTTTGATAGGTTGTTTAGGAGAGTATTCATAATGAATCTCAGTTTCAAATGAACAGCAACTGCCTGTTGTAGAAATCTACAAATGTAGAGGACAACATTTTGAAAGTCTTCTGCCTTTCATCTTCAGGTAGAAGACTTTCGAAACTACAATAGGCAGTTGCTGTCCATTTGAAACTTAGATTCATTACGACTAAGGCATAATTTATATTTATTTCCTAATTTTTTTAACATGGTTATGAGATTGGTCAAATCAACCAAACCCATACAGAGATTCATTACTGAAAATAACAGATAAAATATACTTTTTTCTAGACATTATAAAGATTTCGCATATGAAATTTGAAAATTTTCTTATGTACAGAAGTATTTTTAATCTTACAATGATAATTACTTTGCATGTTGGATAGGCAACATGCAAAAAAAAAAAAATAATGCTTTCATACACAAAATATCAATTTTTTTTTATTAAGTCTTAAGGTTTGTAAAGCAATGTTTTTCTCATGCCGTAATGTTTACTGATAAACTGGCAAATTTCATTAACATTTTCTTACTAATTTAAAAGCTATAGCATGAAAACTATAACAAGCACAAAATGGTTATGAGGTTGGTCCCAGGGACAGAGCCTATGGTGAAATAGTTAATGTTATGTGTAGAAATCAAGTCTTGTTATGTCTCTTTGTAAAACTTATGAAGTGTCAAGGTTTGATCTCTTTGAGCTGGACATGACTTAGTGGTTAGCATGTTGGACTGTGGTTCATAATTCGTGTCCTATTTCCACAAAGTTGAAGTTCACACTTTGGAGCCATTAGTGTGACAGTCAAATCCCACTATTTGATTCGAGTAATCCAAGATTTGGTGATGAATGTTGTTGACTAGCTGCCTTCCCTATCAGCTCAAAATTAGGGATGGCTTGTGAGGTAACCCTTAGGAGCTTTGCATGAATATCTGAAACAAAGAAAGACAATTGATCAATGTCTCTACTTATTGTAAGGTGTGAAAATTGGAGTTCAATGTGTAGTTGTACTTAGTGGAAATTGTTTATGTATTGTATTTGTTAATAAAAATCAAGGCAGGAGAAGTTCATGATAATTGTATCTAAGTTTAAGATCTGCTGGAAAATATCATAGGAATGAAGGTTTAGCAGTTATTTTTATATTGTCTGCTAATATAAGTTTTAAGAGAAGTATATATATCGTGAGTAGCATACTGTGAGTTTAGTGTACCACTTCAATTAAGGTGTACCATTTGTAAAATATTTTGTGAGGATAGTGTACTTATGTTTTATTTATGTGCTAAAAGCAAAATATATTACTTATAAACATTGAAATCCTATTTTATAATTTTTCAGGGTAGCAGCAACCCACAGTCCTATTATATTTATAGGTACTGGTGAACATATAGATGATTTTGAACCTTTTAAAGTCAAGCCTTTTGTCAGCAAGCTGCTAGGTAATTATGAAGCAAATATATATATATACCGCCATCTTGTTGAAGAGTAGCATAGCAGATAATAAATGTTATATATATATATATTAATGATCACTAAACTGTTCTGGAGTGAAAATATTTAAATTCCTTGCATTGTTATTGTGCCCATAGTCTTAGATTTCTCTATGGTGTTTTCTTCAAATCTGATCTTTGCTCTCCAAACCATTGACTTGGTTCTCTGTAGTATGGGCCATGTGAACTTGAAGAAGGAACAAAGAAAAACCTTTAAAGTAAGAAGAGAAGGATGAAAAAGTTGAGATTATGAACTGACATAATTCCATGATGGTTTATCTTCTAAACCAACTAACTTAGCAACCTGTGAAAAATTTATCACCTATATTAGAAAAGTATCGTACTTATTCTTAACTTTATGTTTAATGTTTCATGTGTAAACTGCACTGTGCAGTACATAAACAAGCCTGTGTGTGTGGCTCTTACTTGGAACTGTGTGCTAAGCTAAGGAATGAAGAATAGTAATTGTATTCAATGTTTTTACAAATTATAACAGTCAGAAAATCCACCTTCATTGTTGAAGATGTTGAGTAAGTACCATTGATCACGTAAAGAAAATTGAGTATTCTTGTAAAAAGTGTTATTTATAGTGAAGTATATTTTTATTATCTTAGTATACATATATGAAAGGGGAGTATTTTGTAATGTTGGTGGGCATGAAGTACTGGTTCAAAGCTAGATAAAATTGGTCCTACCTGGATTTAATGCAGTCAGAGATATTTCTGACTCTTCAATATCAGTTTTTGACTTAATTGTCTAATGTAGAAGTCAAATGCAGATGTTATTCTAAACTTTACTCAATTCTCTGTTTCTTAAAGTATTTATTAGGTATGAATGCTACATTTATGATTGTGTTAATTACTTTTAAAATATAGTATATGCAGAAAATTTCAGGTAGTGTCATGTTTCAAAGAGTTAGTTTAATAAACCCACAAGTGACAATTCCTACTTTACCTGATTAAAATGTCCCCAAATGTTGTGACTGCAAATGTTACACAAATTTTATTTCCAGTAATATCATTGTATTGTTTTTAATGAAGCTTTCCATTAAATACCAAATTAGTGCATCAAAGCCCAATTATTAGATAAGCCTTGCCCAGAAACATGTTAAAGAAGAGTAGAAAATGTTTTGTTCTTGATGTTTGATAATGAATCATATTGATTTGGAATAATTCAAAGTTAAGACACTTTTTTTGTAAGGTGGTTTTATTAACTATTTAAAGCAGAATTACATGTTTATAAGGGTAGCTTTTTAAGTTTGATAAGTTCTTGTGCAAATATTCCTGTTTTGAAAGTATATATTCTTGTATATTGTTTTTATTAAAATGATTTCACATACTTTTTGAGAATATATTTTATCAGTATTTTAGTGAATTATTTCCTGTTTCTCTAGGTATGGGAGATATTGAGGGGTTAATTGACAAAGTCAATGAGCTGAAACTAGATGATAATGAAGAGCTAATAGAAAAACTAAAACAAGGTATGGTTGACTTAATTCTGAGAATTGCAGGTTCAATTTCAAACCTTTTATCTCACACTTGTTTGAAAGGCAGTGTATATTGATTAACTTGAAGGTAAAGTTACAAAAGAAAATTTAAGAACTGAAAAATTTAATTACTGGTAATTTTTCTTCCAAGAACTGTTGATCAAAATCATGGTACATGTCGATAAGGAACTTTCTAGATTATTGAACATGTTTACTCCTAGCTAGTTTTTACAAATTATAAATTTTTCAGTTTTTTTTAGCAATTTGCAAGCTATTAAAAACAGAATTTCAAAACTTTATAACTTATTAGAAAATTCTGTTTTTGAAATTAAAGATGCATGAATTTATATATTTTGTATATCTTAACATTATAATTTTCCCAAAGACTTCCTCTTTCAGGTTTTTGTCAAAGTCATAGTACTCTCTCTCTTTCTTTTAGCCTTCCCAAATAAGATTTAAATTAAGTTCTAAGTTAAGATAACTGTGTATAGGGTTATCTCTGTTAGACAGCAGGCAATTGACTGGATATTATTTTGAATATATGGAAGAATTTTCAATTTATTATACATTTGATGTATGTCCTACTTGGTTATTTATTTCCAGTTTGTGGTTTTAAAGAAGTGTTGTTTTTTTATTTAGATACTTGGTATAGATTCTTGTAGTAATTCAAAAGTGCTTCAAGTATTTAATAATAATTCAACTTTAAATTTTGTGTTTATTTGGAAGAATTTGTCAGACTTGTTGTTGATGTTAAAAGAAGTAAATTGATTCTTGATAGAAAATGTAGGCTGTGAATCATGGAAAGTAAAAACTATAATGAGCAGCATACAATATATATTAACCCTAAAATTAAATTTTTTTTACTTTTTCAAAAACATTTTTCGAAAATATTTGTGCACCAAGTTATATGTAGGTCTATGACATTGTTGGTTACAGGGTCCCTTCTAATGAAAAACAATTTACACAAAAGTACCATCAGAATTGCAGTTAATCTCAATAATTAGTGCTGTATTGGACATAGAAAAGGAATGATTTCACCCACTTTTTGGTTCAGTTCTTTACATTGCCTGCTATAACAGGAGCAAGATCAAATTACTCAAAATGATACAATACGTGGACCCCACCACTAGTGAACATTTTATAAACAAGTTAGTAATTTGAAGCTTAAACTGGTATTTCTGAAGAAGGAATTTCTGTAATTCTTTGTACTTCAAAACTACTGAATGCATGAAAGAAGTACAATGGGTGATTTCCTTTCAGTATTTTAGTACCTTGGCCATAAAATATTTTATGATTATATAGACTTTTGATATTATTTTTCAGGTGAATTTACTCTTAGAGATATGTATGAACAGTTTCAAAATATTATGAAGATGGGCCCATTTAGTCAGATCATGGTGAGTTCTTTAGTTAAGGTTGTTTTGGGAAAAAAAGGTGTAAATACTCTTTTTCTTATTGAACACTATAGTATAATAAGGTATTCTATGGTGAGTAAAAAAAAAAGGCACCATTATCAAAGACAACATGCTTTGGTGTGATTAAGCTTATTCAAAGACAAGTTAAATAAACATATTATACAAGTTCTAGCAACCAATCCCTGAATATTGACTGCTGAAATGTTCCACATTTAGTCTTTAGAACCTGAGATTTCTCTCTCATTTTTGAAGAAAACTCTTCTGATACATTGTTTTTTGTTCTCTTGAAAAAAGCCAAATCTGTGGGCACAACGGTACATCACCTGGCAATTAGATTCTACTTAATAGTTGGAAATGTATAATTGAATTGTTTGTCTGTGTTCAGCCATCTTAATTGTAATATTTTGGTTATATATTAAAACAGGATGTTGCAAAGTTGCTTATTTTTTATTTAAATGCCTTGGAAAATAATATTTTTTCTTTATGTTGAAATATATTAATAGTATTACTCTTGGAAGTGCACACATAATTGCAATTAGATTAAATGTTTCTAATATCAATTGAGATTTGACCAAGCTACCTAAACTTCCCACGAGGAAGTTCTGGTTTGCCAAAATATTATCAGTATTTATTTCACTGTATGATACTTGAATTTTACTGTAAAATGAAAAAGGTTTATCTTTACTTTTAGATGCTATTTTAAAATTGTTTGCTGCTGATGAAAATCTATCATATTGTAGTCACAATTAAAACAACATAACCTTCAGACAACAAGGGATCATTGCACACCCACCCTTGAGAAAAATTTAACACACCCTTTAATTTAAAAAAATCATTGATTTCTCTTTTATATTCCTGTAAACTGCTGGCACAACGGTCAATGGCAACTAATTCCATAAGTCAATCACTTTGTTAGAAAAATAAAACCGTTTTGACTGGAGCCTAACCTTTCTTTTTATGAAATCTTAATCTTGTGTCCTCTTGTTCTTTTACCTTAAGAATATAGTACAAAGAAATCAGAGGGCTTTATGCTATGGATCCCCTGGATAATCCTGTAAACTTCAATAAAACCACCTTTCTTTTCTCAAAAGAAATTAAGTTGAGAGAACTTAACCTATCTTCTTTGCTCTCCTGTGAACCATTTCCAGTTAAAGTAAACTTCCTTTCTTGGATAAAGAGACCAAAATTGTATACAGTATTCCAAATGAAGCCTTAATAATGATTTGTATAGAGAAATAATTACTTCTTTTGGCATGTCAATATGTCATAAATACACCCTAAAATTCTTTTAACTTTACTAATAGCAAGAAGGCATTGCTTCAATGACTTGAGTCTACCAATATACCAAGATCCTTTTTCTTCAATCATGCTGTTGAGTTGGTTCCCATCTATATTAAAGTATAATTCTAATTTTGATAACTCAAATGTATTACTTTGAACTTACTGTAATTATAGGTTATTTGTTAAATATTTGTCCAACTTACCAATTGATCCATACCATTCTTTAGTACCTCAACATTCTTATTGCAGCTAGAAATATCCAAGATTTTAATATCATCAACAAACTTTACTACGTATGTACCTATCAATATCATTAATGTCAATAAGAAAGAGTAAAGGCTCGAGCAGTGACTCCTGAGGCACTCCACTAGTAACAAGGGTCCAGTTTCACTAACAGTCTTTTGTTTTCTCCAATCCAGCCACCCTACAATCCATTTACATAATTTTTCCCCAACTCCTAATAATGTAATTTTCATAGCTAATCTTTTGTGAGGCACCTTATCAAAGCATTTTGAATATCTAAGTCCACACACTTCATGTAAGTAACAAGTAACATCCTTGAAAAATAATTATTAAGGCAAATTTTTGTTTTCTTGAATTCATGTTGATTTTAATTTGTATTGTCATACTTCACAGACTGATTTTGTAAGCTTCTTTCACCAGACTTTACACAATTTTTTACCACTGTAGAAATAAGACTAATTAACCTATAATTTCCACTTATCATTCCCTTGAAAAATAAGACTAACATTAGCAACTCACTAATCCTTTCCACTATGTATTGTTCTACAAAAAATATAAAAAAAGAGAGAGAGGATCACATATCTGATCTTTGACCTCCTTTAAAACCTTGTGTGGCCCTCTTGCTTATATCTAATTTAATATCTCAGTCTTTCTACTTATCAAGGGGCTAATTTCTGCATCATTTGGGTCAATTCCAATATTTCACATGGAGTGCTCATTGTCAGGAATATTGCTAATATCTTCTGTTGTAGAGACATAAGAAAAGAAAATATTTAACAGCTCAACCACCTCATAATGTTCAACAACAACCTTCTTATCAGCATCCTTTTTAGGGCCCAGTAACCATTCTAAAATGTTTTTGTTTTTAAAAATTGTACTTCATTACTTACATTTAGTTGCTTTGCTCCAGTTGTTAAAACAAAGTAGAGACTTCTTTGAATTGTTATTGTTGCCTACAATTAAAAAAAAAGAAGGAATTTCATCGTTCTCCTTGAACTATTATCATGAATTGCTCCAAATAAAATTTTAAATAAATTAGTAATAGTCTTATTGTGATCACTGGTATCGTTAAATTTCTATATGAGCCCTTTGTTTATTTACTCAGAGTCATGCTTATTATAACTGCCTTGTCTTAGCCATGCCAGTTACAAAGAGCTGAATATTTCATCAAAATATTTACTACATGCTCTTGACATACAAAGACAAAAATGTAAACACTTAGTTTTAACTATCTCACTAGATGCTACTTAAGGCTGAATATATAAGTAATGGGTAACCTGATAATCTTTTTTCAAATATTCCATTCTTTATAGAATTAAGGTCAGAAGCCTGACAGCAGATCTGACAACTTCAGTATATCAAGTTTGTAAGCCTTAAAAGTTATACTTGGATCTTGTTTTAGGTGCAATATTCAGTGTAATTTGTTCTGCTTGTTTGTTTCTTCACACAAGTGAAGAAAAACTAAGATTTCCTGTGTTTCTTTGGCAATATTCTATTTTTTTATTGAGAACTGCAAATATTGATCTGTATACTCTCTTGAACAAAATGTATCTAAACACTAAATTTTGTTGATTTTATTTGACTTGGTAATTAGACAAACTACACAAAAAATAAGTTTTGTAAATAATTGTTTGTGTTTTTGGGAATTTACCATCCTTCTATTTCATTCGTTTCTAGGGTATGATTCCTGGGTTTAGTAGTGACTTTATGACAAAAGGAAATGAGCAAGAGTCCATGTCTCGACTAAAGAAATTAATGACCATAATGGATAGTATGAATGACCAGGGTAATTACCTAATCAAATAAAATAGTTTTGTGTCCTGAATAAACTGAACAATTTCATTTTTCTCATGTATATCATAAATATAAAACATAACATATACTTTTATTGTCTGTGAAGTAAAATAATGTAACATTTTCTTTTATTTTCATCCATATAATAGGTGTTGTTGAATTGTGTTGTAAAAATATTTAGATTTTTAGGAAACTAAGTAGATCTAGACCATATTCAAGAGATCTTTTTACTTACCAGTTAAAGTTTTAAATTAGTAATGTGTTATGCAGAGTGGAGAGAAGAGTGGCTGTGACTTTGTGAACAGAGTAACTCTTGAATAACTTAAGACATGAGTATTGCTAACTTTATGTATTGGCTGCATTGATATATGAAGGCTAATCAACAAAAGTAGAACTGTTACTTAAATGAAAACTCAGATAAACCATATTGATATATTGAAGTTATTCAGCAAAAGTCAGAGCTGTTACTTGCAAAATATGTTACACTTATAGGACACATTAATTATCAAAGTTATTCAGCAAAAATCAGAACTGTTACTTACCAACCATTATGTTCCATATATAGGCTACACTGATTTCTCAAACTTATTCAGGAAAGGTCAAAACTGTTATTTAACCCTTCCATTACAGGCTGGGTGGAATCCACCCAACCTGTAACCAGGAAAGTATCCATGATTTTTTATAATGTATGCATATATTTACAAAATTTTGCAGGTTCTTGGTAAACATTAAAAGGCTTTTGTACACAAAATTGCAGGTTTTTAAATTAAGTAATAAGATTTTCAATTAAAAATTTTCTCATAAACCTTTTTCTTTCAGAATGTTGACTATCCAACATACAAAATAATTTTGATTTTAAGATTAAAAATACTTTTATGAATTAGAACATTTTCAAATTTCACATACAAAAATCTTTATAAACTCCAGATAATTATCGTTTTTTAGACAAAAACTTTATATTTTATGTTATTTTCCCTACTGTATCTCTGTACGGGATGGTTCAATTTGACTGTCTTTGAAACCTCAATAAAAAATTAGGAAATAAATATAAGTTATCTTTTTTCATTCTACATTGACTACAACTTATAACATGAAAATACAAATGTTTAGTCTTAATATCTTAAATTTCATAACATTATAGATTTATATAAATTTATTATTTTTTATTATATTGACCTTTCAGCTGTGCCTGGCTAACATTTTTGAAGTTGCAATGATGCGGCGCATGTGCACTTTTGTTACCATATCCAAGAATATAAAACTGGCCTTTACAAAGTGACCTGTCTTAGCTGTGTTTTAGTGGTCTGGTATTTCATAAATTAAAATACAGTCACATTTCAGTTTTAATACATTATATATGTATATACATTATTACTATTTAAAACAAGTTCTTAAATTTCAGTTATTTTTCTTAAAAAATAGAACGGTAAATAAAGAATTATAGAAAATAATTATCTATTCTAGTTATGTGCTTTGAACTTGTTTGCTGCTTGCTGTAGGTTACTAAGCCTTATCAAAATTTGCACGTGGAGGATGTGAAACAGAATTTTTTTCATAATTTTATATATACATTTTGAAATAACCAAAAATCGTAAATTACTAGACCGATACCATAGAAGTTCACTATAATTTATCACATTTAGTAACTAAGCTGTATTTAAGTCTAAAAAATATGAAATTTTGAGCTCACTAAAGTTTCAACTTACCTTTTCAAATCCAAGTCTTAAAAGAACGAGTTTGATGCTGAATACTTCAGTTATGCTGAGAATGCCACTAGGGGAACATTCTGAGCTTTCAATTGATTATTCACACGTTGTATACAGAAGTAAGTGTACGTAATGAAAAGAGGTGGGTGGGGCAACTGTGTTTGTTCAGTACATGTAGCTATATCTCAGCAAATAGAAAATATAGGAGGTTCTTATTTGATATTCTAGCTTGTCAGTATTGATAGTTTGAGTTCCTAATTTGTAAGAAACTATAGACCTTGTATTTGGACATCACAAACATCTAATTTGAACCAATGCTGCATTTAATTTATCATATGACACACAAAAATCAATATTTAGGATTTCTTTTTTTTTAATATTTACTTTTAAATTAAGAAATTAACCAATAGATCATTCTAAAATTAAAATCTACAATTTGATACCAAACTTATTAATACACATTTATAAAATAGTAGTTCAGTATGATTTTGAATGCAAGTCTGCAAACACGATGACATGACCTTTGACCTGTGACCATAGGAGACCCGTAGAGATAGGGTTAAACAAAATGTAGAGCTGTTACTTACAAAGTGATAATGTTCAACATATATATGCTACATTTTGATATATTAAAGCTATTTAACAAAGGTAAAATTGTTAAGCAAAACAGTATGTTCTTTGTATAGGCTACATTGATATACCAAAGCTATTCACAAAAGTAGAACTCTCATTTACTAAACAATATGTTCTACATATAAGCCACAGTGATGAGTCAAGGCTATTCAGTAAAAGTCAGAACTGTTACTTACAAAAGAACATGTTCTATGTGTAGGCCACAAAAGTCAGACTGTTACTTACAAAATGGTATGTTTAGTTCATCTTGCTGTTTGTTTTTCCTTGTTTGCCAAAATGTTGTGCTAGAAATAGTTTTTTGTGAGTAATTATAATACTCTATACTGTTCAACATGATAAAAACCCTATAACCCAAGCTCTTTCAAAAGGGCCCCCCAGTGGTACAGCGGTATGTCTGCGGACTTACAACGCTAGAATCCGGGTTTCGATACCCGTGGTGGGCAGAGCACAGATAGCCCATTGTGTAGCTTTGTGCTTAATTACAAACAAACAAAATCTTTCAAAAGGTGATTCCCAGTTTGCCCCTGAAGAAGTTACATGGTTTTATCATTTTGTATAAAGACTTGTTGAACCTTCGTGTTTTTCTGACATCATGACTTTACTGCTCAACGTAACACTGCTAGACAGGTTTTTGAAGGCAATTAATTTTTGATTGTTAGAAGAGTTAGCTCATCTGATTGGAATTACTATCTTTGTACAGTTTGTAATGTTGCTTTAGAAAGGTTAATTATTAGACTCAAATGATATTATAAGTAACCATATACATGAAAAACACACACTTCTGTTGTTTTTGTTTTGACTCGTACACCCCAGGACATGACCTGAAGTTCTTAAAAACCAAATCGGATTTATGATTTCTACAAACAGTAGATTTAAAATATTTATAACTCACAAATGGCCAGCTTAGCAATGAAATGCATACAGAATAATACAGGTCATAACTGATAGATCATTCATCAGTTACATAGTTATTAGTAAAAAGAACTGAAGCCACACAAAGCAGTGTAAGTGAAGTAAATGTTTAAAGTTTTCCTTGCATGGTTGGTTGCTTGTTGAAGCAAGAGAGTTTTGTTTTTTAGCAAATGACTCCTCTCAATATTAAGTATTTTTCATGCAAGAAGTAATAACATATTTTAAAGCAAATAATTTTTTTCTAGTTCTATTACAAAGATTAATCCTTTTGTAAAGGTGTCACATTATGATAACTGAGTGCTAATTACTATATTACAGTGTTTATAGCTTGCTTCCAACATGAATTTCTCGTTTTTAGCATCATGTTTTTGATGTTCATTTTTTCTCCATTATATTTTGTTTAGTACATTGTCTTTCACACATGCTTGCATACTGAAATGGTTTGTTTCCTTAACAGGGACTACTTGCACCATCTACTGATTAAATGGTTAATTAATATTAAAAGATGACCATATGAACAAATAAACATATCTGTTTGTTACTTTTATAATGTTTGGAATGAGAAATGCTAAATGAACAAACATTACGAAATATACAATAAATGTATTGTGAGTTCATGGTACTTTTATTTTCATAGCGTAACATTTATACCATTAAAATTCTTAACGGTATAACATAATATATTCTAAAGAGTAACAAAGAGTGTTAGTAAGTATGACTTATTATTTTTCCCTGTCAAAAATTACATTTCAATTCAATTCTTTCTGTCATATATCATGCCTCTTATTCATGAGCATTAGGACTGTTAGCTGGTTTATTATTAAATTTAGATCAGTAGTTGATTAGCCAGTAATTTGTTTTCTTAAATGACTTTTGCTTAATGCCTTCACTGTCACAGTTGTGCATAACACACAGACACATGAGTGTTAAATGATTGTTTGTATCTGACTTATTACTTGTCATATTAATGTGAATTTTTTAGAGATGATTTCATGAAGTATTTCACAAATGATTATGTTCTAGATTATAAAAAGCTTTAAGTAAAATTATTAGTTGGACATTTCTTTCAAAACTGGCAAATTAACATGCAACGTTCCTGATTGCTCACAATTCATTATAAAATTATTGATTTTTATTGCATACCTACTTCTCAGAGCATTTACTTGACATTAAACTTTTCAGAGCTGAAACTAAGGGTAGATAGTATGCTCCATATATATGTCCCCATGGCAGTTTTTGTTCCAACTTGGGGCATGCTGGTGGGTAAAACAAAATATGCGGCCTAGCTAACAAACGAATGAATATTTGCTGTAAAATACTTATAAATGCTATAAGTGCAGCTACCAGTTTCTAAAGTTTCTGTACTTTTAGTTTGAAGAAAAAAAAGAAGAAACTCAGTCAAAATTGGAGATGTTATATCTGGGGTATTTTTTAATTGATTGCCTTGAAATTTGGTATGTGAAGTAAGAATCCAGTAGAGCACATCCACTGAAAATATGTGATTGTTTGGATTACCACAGTCCAAGGTACAAAATGTGGAAAATCGCTAGACTATCACTCCTGTTGATAATACACAGTGTGTCCTGCACGTTATTTTTTGGCCACAAGACACACTACCATTTGTCTTGTTATGTATATTTCAAAATGTATTATTTTATTATATTTCAATATTTATTATGTTCTTAATTATTATAGTACTTTTTATAAAGTTTTATTTGTATTAAATATTTTCACATCTTAAAGAGGAATGATTGTTTTTGAGTTTTTTTTTACAAGCAGTGTTTGAAATATTTCTTGCCATTTTAAAGCTATGCTGGATATTCTATATTTGTTTTTAAATAGTTTGTCTACAAATTATTTGTGATATGTCTATGTTTATCCTGTAAATTGGGGAAAAAAAACCTGGACAGAAATCTGGGCTATGTTGAACAGTAGCATCCTGTTCATTAATATTCAACAAACTTATTTTTCAGAACTAGACCACAGAGAAGGAGCCAAGTTATTTTCCAGGCAGTCTGGACGGGTGACTCGGGTGGCACGAGGTGCTGGTGTTACATCACGAGAAGTGCAGGAACTCTTATCCCAATACACAAAATTTGCTGCTATGGTGAAGAAGATGGGAGGCATCAAAGGCCTTTTTAAAGGTAATGTATAAATCTAGAAGTTCTATAATTCTTAATACCCGTCTCACATAATATGTAGTGTTCATTTTAGACTGTTTTGTTGTAAACAAAAAGTAATCATTTGCTTTAGACCTTTAGCTCTGTCTGGAAAGTATATACAAAATGGCCACCAAATCCTTTGGTAAGCTGTGATAGTAATGGGAGCTAAACAAACTATACTAATATTGTTTAAAAGAAGTTCATTTTGTATAGTATAATGAGCTTCATCCACCTACAGTAATTTGAAGACAGTACTTTGACCTTCCAGTTTTGACCTTCCAGTTAAGAACAAGCCAGTGAATTTTAATGCAAAATTAGCTTACAGGTTTACCTTTATAATTTTCTAGGGATTTACTTTCCTAACTTCAGTAGCCATGTCGCTTTGACCTAAAGATATTCAATGTTACACATCATACATTAAGTATATTTTAAAGAGAATTGTAAATAAATGCAATAACTAGGGATTTTTTTTTTTTTTTGTTGACAAATGTTTTAACCAATTCCCTGCAGCTGGTACACATGGATTCCTGATCTTAAACTTCCTATGTGGGGTGCTG